CACCATTAATGCATTTCACGACAATTCATACATGCATTCAATTACACGTCAAATATACTCCTGGCGTCCACTGAATCGCCCGATCGGCTCAGGATTAGGGGTTCGCACGGATCACACGCCTCCTCACTCCCATCCCCTCCACCGCCACTGGAGTTACCGTTATCTACAGACATGCCATTCAATCAGTCAATTGGGTCTTAATTATCATTACAATCAATACTCACTGTTCAACGTATCGACCAAATCAGCCATGAATTTGAATATATGACTGCAATATGGGACACAAAAACACATTACTATCGCATGTAATCAACTAATTGTCACAAAATGAGTGCAAAATAAGCCACAAAAACATTAATATCACGTCAAGTATTAAGTCATTTGATTACCAGTACACTTGACAGTGATATCTAAGTATGCAACTGCATGATCAAGTGCATTTTACACATTACTCAATGGGTCTAACATTTAGCACTACTATGAAATGCAATGTCAATACAGTTGACCACAAATGCACTGAAATGATCAATGATCAAGGTGATTGACACGATTGTTACAAATGATTACAAACTGACGTTTATTAGACATTGAATTTGTGGTCAACTGTTGCACCCATTCATGTGATATAACAGTAATTGTGGTGAAGTATGGCATCACTTACAGAAGCGTTACAAACATGTGATCCGAGAGACCATCGGTTGTCCACTAAATGCCGTCAATCGATGACTCAATGCCACGGATTTGAGTCAATCTATGAGTCAATGCAACAAAAGACGAGTTTTTTGTTGTTTTTGTTTTCAAAACACACAACAAATCAGCGCTTTGTTCACCAAATGGGGGACCGATTATGCATTGAGTATCATATCATGTCATTGAACGCAATGCTAATAAATTGCCACTTAATCCAATTGAATGCTATATTAATGATTCAATTTTGGATTCATTAATGAAAAAGTTTTTATTTGTCAATATAAGCATTATATGATTGGAAAGTAAGCTTTTTAATAGTAAATGTTGATATACTTTTGAATGTCTGTTAATCATCACTTGTCTTATCTTATCTACAAATCTATGAATAATATTCTGTAGATTTGGTTGAATTAATACTAACTTATTTAAACTACCAATATACTAATTTACATATAATTTTATTACTAATTGCACATAATATACATATAATTATGACTAAATAGCATATTCATAAGACTAATAAATTTACTCATTACAAGCATAAGTTTAAAATATTAATTTCAATACAAAAGTTTTTAAAATACATAAACACTGCACATTAAAAATCAAAAACTTTAAATGCTAAAGAATTATATATAACAAAAAATATTGAATCCATAATTCGCGATAAAAATGTTATTAAAAACAAATAAATAAAAGGCTTTAAAGAATTAGATGACGAGCAGAAAAAATAAATACATTTGCAAACTATATTTGTATATCTAATATAAATGAGCGTAAAAAGCCTTCACTAATATATCCGGAAACTTATTTAACGTCAAGAATTTC